AATGCAATTCTGTTATGGATTCCCAGAGAGTTAAATTCTATAGCAAACAACTTGGCTAAAGCAGGAACTCGTAGGGATTTTTTACATAGCGCGAGAGTTATGCCTTTGTAATCTGTGTATGTGTCTCTTTTAGTGCTTCCTTTGTACGTTCTCTCTCGTAACTTTTCCTCTTAATGAAATTTGTTATCTTTTATCTCAAACAAAAAAAGAACTACATCCTAATATTGATTAACTCAGCTGGTTCAGCCAATGAACCAGAACTAAAAGCTTCCTTGAATGTCTCTTGTTTTTGTATTATATTTGGTCTAATCTTAGATGCAAGGCTAACCTGTGTCCTGTGTCAGCACGTCAAGACTACATTTCCCAGCTTGCCCTTCAACTTTGTTTTTTTTACCTTTATGGCTGCTCTCCAACTTGGCTAGCCTCTTGTTTGGACTTTTTTTTTTTAATGTTTGAATTTCAACATATTGCTTCTAAATATGCCATGTCCAATACATACTCACATATTAATGTTGCTTAAAGTAATAGGAAGGTTCATTTTGTCCTAGTACTATTATTAAATGGGTATTAATTTAATTAGATACAAATATACAATTGCTGCCTGAGTGTATCCATAACAATTAGGAATAGACCAAATTATTGTTAGCATCTCGTCACCTGGAGACTGAACATGTGCATCCTCTTGTTATTGCTATTGATGCAATTAACTTTCTTAAGAGAATCTTAAAACATACTAGAAAATTCACATGTGCATTTTCTGTTTTCAACCATTGGTAAGAATTTCAACATGAACATTGATGCATGGCATCAAGTGGTCAATATGAAATAATAAAGAATGATTGCATCTGCTAGATTCTTAAGAAATGAACAACAAAATTCTAATTCCTAGAATGACAGCTAGTGTAATTTGCAAATTTAAGAAATACACAAAAAATAATAGCAAAATAGAGCAAACACATAATGACTAAAGTTGTGTTTGGTACCATTTCCATTTCTACTAGCAACGTTTTGTGTTGGTCAATACAAATGGCTTCCATTCTACGAATTGAAAGCTAGTGACCCATGTGATGCACAAGCTGTAATATCAATAGGTCGGATTTGGCTCCAATTCACTCTAACCCAAAACCCAATTAAGACTGACCAGACCTTAACTTTTATTTATTCTTAAATATAAATTATTTAAAATTATATTTAATAGAGATTATAAATTTCTATGGCATGAGACATGTGGAGTTGGGTCATAAATTTCTGTTACACAACTTGTGCATCGCATGGGTCTCGATTAGTACTTTGCATAAAGGATTGGAACTCCACTCTTGCCAAAGTTTTTCCTAGGGTTAACTACTTAAAGTATCCCTATGGTTAAGCAAATGGACCAAAAGCCCTATTGTTTCAAAAATTACTTAAAGTACCTTAAGTTTTTTGACAGTGGACATTGTCGTTAAATATGATGGACAAATAAAATATCAAATTTGCCCTCCATTAGTCCTCAAATTTTCAAAATAAAACCCAGGTGTTCTTCCTACCCAATCATGCCATAACTGAATTAGATTCAAGAAATAGAAGCTTTGTTTAATGTCCGCATCCAGACAACAAGCAAAGGCTGGGAGTAAAGAGTCTAAACTCTTTTGTAAAGTGAGTTTGTTGCTATTGTTGTGTAGTTATTTATACTAATGAGAGTAAAGATTCATTTCTAAAATTTCATAAGAAGTGTCGTTACAATGCAAAGTGCGAGAGAAATGTTTGATGCAATGGGTGTATTTACCTCCCAACTACATGATGGCTTTGCTGCACCCACACTCTGCATCCATGTTCCAATAGGTTTGTACATTATATCACCTTTTATGGAGACTCTCAAGCCCGTCACTTAACGTGCTTAGACGCGTTTCAAACGTGGCCTAAAGTTCAAAATACCCCTCCCCATTCGACATCTCTCTCTTGTCTTCATACAACTCTCTCTCTCTCTCTCTCCCCTATCTTCCCTCCACCACCACCACCACTGCAGCAACGGCGGTTCGGCGAGTAATAATAATAATAATTATTAATTACAAATTATTTTTATTAATTATTAATTATTTTAAATATTTTTATTAAACATTAATTATTTTTTATTAATTTTACTTATATTATTTATTTTTATTAACTAGTAATTTTTAATTATTTCATTAATTTTTAAAAATTATTTTAATTTCTACTTGTGTAAATTATTAATTATTTTAATATTTTATAGTCATTAATTTTTTTAAAAAAAATTTAAACATTTAATTTATTAATTATTAATTTTTTAATTTTTTATTTGTATTTTTTAATATTATTTTGAGGTTGAAAGTTATATTTTATGAGATAATACAAATTGAACTTAACATTTTCAAATAGTATGTTTTAGGGGTCAAATCGTAAAATAGTAAATTTCAGATAGTAAAGGGTTGATCCAACACAAACAAACTTATAGATTCAAAGCCTCTAAAAAGTAGAAAAGCACATATACTTCTTTTCAGATTTTAGACAATATCTTTTTAACTTTTCATATATGAAATTTCAGATTTATCAAACGCCACCTGAGTCTAAAAATTTTAGATCTGAAAAAACTTTTTAGACCCTATTTTAGATGCAACACCAAACAAAGGTGGCTTCTCAAAAGTGCAGTCAAACGCCATCTTAGCCTACATTTTGCCCAATTTCTAAGAAAGAGAATGGGATTGGGGGAGGGCAAATGGAGGAACACTAGGGTGGTTCCAACTATTTAAATCTGTTGACATTTTCAATACTTATTCCAACTGTCTAGAGTGAAATGGAATAAGGACACTATTAACAAATTGATGAATTGATAAATCCTTTTGTGGAAGCATTATCTAACTGGTTGTGTACCTATAGTAGGTATAGTTGTAAAATGTAAGAGAGGAATGTTTCTCACTCATCTAGCACACCCAAGTGATGAAATTCTAGTTGCAAGAGATATGCTCATTTATAATGGTTGGAAATTCTTTTAATACACACTAGGTTGTGTAATAAACCCAACATGCTTATTTGTTTCCCTAAATCAGTACTAGGGGTGTCAACCGACCGATTTTAGTTTGGATCCAATCTGATCCAAACCTTATCAAATCGGTTTTGGATGATCCATTATAATTATTGGATTGGGCAAATCCAAAATAAATTGGTCCATATTCTTATTGGTTTGAATTAGACCTAAACCAAATTTTCAATAATTCGATCATGAGGCCAAACCCTTGTCCAATTTGAAATCAATCAAAACTGAAGCTAGCATAAAATCACTTTTACACAAACACTTTTACAAAAGTAATTTATGAAAAGTATTTTTACGAAAGCACTTTTATAAAACTACTTTTACGAAAGCATTTTTACAAAAGTACTTTTATGGAAGCACTTTTACAAAAGTAGTTTTATAAAAGCACTTTTATGAAAGCACTTTATAAAAGTACTTTTACACAAGCAGTTTTATGAAATCACTTTTACAAAAAAAGCTTTTACAGAAGTACTTTTAGAAAAGTACTCTTACGAAAGCGCTTTTTATAGAAGTATTTTTATAAATGAGTATTTACAAAAGCACTTTTATGGAAACACTTTTATGAAAGAACTTTTACGAAAGCACTTTTACAAAAGTACTTTTATGAAAGCACTTTTATAAAAATACTTCTATGGAAGTACTTCTATAAAAGTACTTTTATGAAAACATTTTTACAAAAGCACTTCTATGGAAGTACTTTTATAAAAGAACTTTTACGAAAGTACTTTTATAAAAGTATTTTTACAAAAGCACTTCTATAAAAGTACTTTTATAAAAATCTATGGAAGTACTTTTCTAAAAGTGCTTTTACAAAAGCACTTTTACGAAGTACTTTCAATAAAGTGCTTTTGTAAAAGCACTTTTATGAAAATACTTTTGTCAAAATACTTTTACAAAAGTATTTTTTCAATGCCAAAAGTGTTTTTATATAATTTATGATATTTCATTCGGTTTGGATTGGATCCAATCCAATCCATTTACATTTTAATGGATTAGAGATTGGATTTAGACCGGATTGGATCCAATCCATTTGTAAGTGGACTCACATTGGACTGCATCGGGTTGGATCAAATCCATCAAATTGACACCTCTGATCTGTTCAAAATATATTGGTTGGTTTCTTTTCAAACACTTTATTCTTCTTGACTAAAGTGTATAAAGTTGCAGTCGAGAGAATTATTTATTGAGATAAAGAGGTTGGCTTCTATGGCGGTAGGTAAAGGGTTTGATGTTATTCTAATTTGAAGTAGTGATTCGATCAGCAAGTAGGATGGAGTAGTAAATGTAAGTGTCAACTAGAGTCTATTATTGTGTCTTACTTCTTGTCGAACCAGCCTTAGAAGTTTGTAAACGTTTAGAAGGTGTTTAGTGCAAGCAATGTAAGCATTCACAAGGAATTGCCTTTGGGTTTTAATTTTTGAAAATTTAAGTAATAATGAAGGGAAACATCAATAGCAAAAGAATAGTTTTGGAATTAAGAGAAATTATATAAGTCACGTGACATTACATGCAAACTGATTGTAATGGCACACTAATAGTAGGGGAGAATTTTGTCCATTGTCGAAAAATTTAAGAGTACTTTAAAATTGTTCTTCAAAGAGTGAGGGCTTTCTTATCCATTTACTAAATCATAGGGGTACTTTAAAATAGTTCTTTAGTTATATGATTTCTATGTTGGTAATTTTTGTAATTTCCTGCCCCTCTATTCTCTCGCACAAGAATGCTTTGTGTAACTATCTGGATGTAATAGGCATGTTAGATAAGAACAATGAGTGATCACGTTATAACTGTGTGACACATGTCCCAGTTAATGTGTCTTTCGTCCACGTTTTTATTTAATTAGACAAAAATTATTGATTATTTTATTATCTTTGTCTAAATAATTAAAAATAAAAAAAAATGAAAAAGGAAAACATAAATGAATCCCCTCACTCTCACTCATTTTGTTTACCTAGCGTACCCACTACATCCGACCCGCATCCAACATGCCATTGTATGGGAAGTGAGGGAGACAACATGAGTCTGAGTTCGCACCGGATCTGACTGACCACTAGAACCGATTGCTGGCATCAAAGGAGCATGTAGCTCGAATCCGCTAGAATCGATTGTTGACACTAGAGAAGAAGCCTGGAGTTTGAATTCATACTGGACCTGAGATCTGAGAGATACTCAGCAGATCTAAAAGGTTTCATCCTTCTTTCTCTCCCCCTCTCTCCGTCATCTTTGCACCTTGCTCATCTGCCGGAATCAATTGTTAAAGAGACAATATATGTTTCGATAGCAAGGAATTCGCCACCGAGATTATTGAATCCAAGAGTTGTTCCGACCTGATCAATGCAAAGATCACTTGGGGTTTTGATATGTCAACAAAGAGTATCTACTATCTAATAGCCATGTGAGCAAATCCTTGAGTTCCTTCAATATATGTTTCGACGCCATGAGAACCTCAATGGAATCTGCATCCCACTAGTACAACCTTGGCTTTGGGGGAAAGACATCATGAAAGCAGCAACTACATTACCCGTGTTGCTTTCGTTCCCGTTAGGTTGGGTTTGGGGGCAAGACGAGGCATGAGATATAGAAAGAATACCCAATTTATAGGAGAATATTAGATTTAAAGAAAAATAGAGTTAGTCAAGTGTAAGAAAGAAAGTGAGAGAATGATTTAAGACGATATTTAAAGAGCAAGAGTATAATTTGTCAATCAGGGTAGATTTAAGTAATTTGTCCAATAAAACCTTTTAGTCTTTCAACATCTCTCTCAAAGCGTCACTACTCGGCAAAGAGGGACAATGTCCGGTTTTGAAGGTCGTGTTTCTCTTGTTCTCGATCTAGCTACTCAGACCTCCTCTCTGTATCGCTTTTCAACTTGATTTTTTTTCTTCGTTTGCAGTTTAGTGGATTTGGCGGATGAAACTGCGAAATATGTTTTCCCGAAGAGATTTGAAAGTCGCAATTTAGAGGAAGATTTGATGACAGGTAATTTTTTGCACTGTTGGATTTTGTTGAATTTGATCGGAATCTGGACTTTGGTTTGTGATTGTTTTATTAAATCTTGAATCGTGAAACTGGTCTGCAAGCTCAGTCTGTGTTGAGGGTTTGGGCATGTGAGTATTGTTATAGTTTCCTTGAAAGAAATTGAAATACATGATTTTTTTATTCTTTAAAAATTAAGATCAGCGTTGTCAAAACTCAAAAGCAAGTGAAGCACATGACTGAGACAAGAAGAACATTCTTTCTTTTTCTTTATGTTTATAGCTTGTCATTTTGAGTAGATTTAAGTTGATGCATACTCTTTCAACCTGAGCTTACCTAAAATTATTCCTGCTGCCCCCTAAACTTAAAAGATTCTGTTTCAGACATTTTCATTGGTCCATTACTCTGAGACCTTATTCCACCCTCGGATCCAACATCCACCTTTGAAAGAGAATCTTCAAGCTTCATTCACTCGATTGGCCTCCATATTTTTCCTTATCTCGATCCGCAATGACCAAAATACCCAAAACGTTAGTAAATTATTAAAATGCCCTTATGCCCTAATCGGTCAAAAGTTTTAATTAAGGTTAGTTCTCTCCCCAGTTCGGCGACTGAACCAGCGGCGGCCACCACTCCTCCTGTCTCGCTCTCTATCTCACAGTCGCCAGTTCGCCACCGACAGCAGCGGCGACTCGCCTCTCGCTCTCTCTCCACTTTCTCTCTCATTCTCTTTCTTATTGTCTCCTTTTCTTCCTCCTCCTCCTCCTCTTCTTCTTCTTCTTCTTCTGTTCACCCACCGTCGCTATCGATACCGAACACCGAACAAGTCCGGTGGTTCCCCCCTTTTCTTTTCACACATTATTTGTTTCTATTTCTTCCTCTTTCTCATTCTTTATTTCTTTTTCTTTTGTTTTTTTTTCTTTCCTCCATTTGTTGTCTTTCCGTCATTTTCTACGTGGCCGGTGGACTCCATTAAAACAGAGCACCACCGGCAGCATCCTCTCTTTCTCTCTCTCTCTCTCTCTCCTCCATTTCCCTTTCCACCTCCTTCTTCTTCTTCCTCTTCATCTCATGCTCTTCTTCCTTTCTTCTTCCTCCTCCGTTCTTTCCTGACTGCCACCGCTGCAAGCATCATCACCGAACTGCAACTCAACTGGTACCGCTTAGATCAATTCTTCCATTGGCCAGACTTCCCACTATCGAAAAATTGAAGATGCCCGCGATAGGACCTCGAAGTTCGTCGGGAATCTGAGCCAGTGCATCATCGCCATTGAAACTCTGTGATTCCTCATTGGCCCAGGTCGAGATTTGCAGAGGCAGATCAGAGTTATCTGTCATCGTTTCCCCTGTTCAAGTTATCTATCATTGGACGCTACCATCTATTTCCATCAATAGCAGCGTGGAATAACTTCCCTGAAGGCAACTTCTAGAGGTCTGTTCATCTCCCATTGTCGGTCAATGCTTTCCCTCTGCAAAAGTTTTTTACCATTTATCATCTTCCCGCATATAAGTATAAATTCATAACCTGCATGTTGAACATCTTATTTAAATTTTGAATGTTAATTGATGTTAATATTAGTCTTTGGATTTAGACCCTGTTTTCAGTTTATTTTTATTTAAGACAATCAGGAATGATAAATATGGTTAATATCTTGGTTAGTACTCATGGGCCGGTACTGGTTTACCTGTCGCAAGCTTTGTTATGCCGAAACCTAAATGTTAAGTCAGCAACACTTCCAAATGCCACTTCTTCCCGTCGCATCCGTCTTCAGGACGATATAGTCACAGGTTTTCACTTCTCAGTGAGTGAAAGATTTTTCTCCGGGTGTACGTTGAAAGCTTCTATCGTARAACTCATTCGAGAGGGCTTGGTGGTCTTAAGAATGGTTCGGGTGGGGGGTTCCTTGAATAAATCTTTGTTTGCGCTAAATGAAGAAATTCCTCTTTATGTCATTGTTGTTTGCCATTTAATACTGTTAATTTTTTATTGAATGCAAGCTCTCGCATCATAAAAGTTTTCTGTCTTATTGTTGTTTTCTGCTCATCATATGGTTCACCTTTTAGTTCAATTGAATTATTCTTTGTTTTATTTTTCTTTTCATTCTTCTTCTTTCTTTGTTTTATGGTAGTGGTTAATTGTCATCCCACGAATTTGAATGTTTCTCATCCATTATTACTTAGCATCTCTTCTCCACTCTCATGCCCCTACCTTTTGCATTATTTGTGTTTGTGATTGTTTTGGCTTCCCCTGTGTGGATCCTACCTTTTGAAATGGGAGAGGGGTGCCTAACCCCTTCCTTCTAATCTAGTCTTACCTGGGCTGCTTTAACAAGTCCTTGGGGTTTGGAATCACTATTTTTTTTTTTATCAATATCACTATTGAGCCAAAATGAAATTTCAAACTCAACGCTGGTGGGCCCATCACCTCCACTTCAACCAAATGATGAGTAGCAACTCCAAATCAGCCCAAGTGAGTTGTTTTTCGACACTCACAATCACAGTTATCAAATTGAATTTGAATATAAAAATGTAATATCCATAGGATTATTATCAAATTCAAATCTGTAATTTTCCTATTGAACCAAATTGGATACCCGAATCCAAATTCGATCCGACTCGTTTGTAGCTCTTATCCAAGTCTGATTGGTTGGACTTGGGCCCAAATCAAGTCTGAACTTTGAAGTCTTCTCTCCTTCCAAGTCCCAAGTGGCCAAGTTGGTGTTTTGATGCTCTTTGTACGGATACCCATTTCATGACTCACTCACATGTTCGTTTTGTGTTGATGTGGCTTTTCTCTATTAATTTCCCTTTTTTAATCATACAAATTAATTAAGAACCCGAGTTGACAAACTCCCATTTGTGCCATTCTCTCACCATTTCTCTTTGTACCGAAATTTCTTTTTCTTCTTCAATCTTCAAAGTTCAAACCTCAAGAATGTCAAAACCCTAACTCTGGTGTTGGTGATCCAGAATAACATTTTGTTAGAAAAGCATCGAGCAAATGCAAAATAGTTCATAATAACTCTTATGATTCCATCATGGTCAGGTCCCCTCTGGATGCTGGGTGGAAGAAACTAAATTTTGATGGCAGCTGTTTTGGAAATCCGGGGCCATCGGGTATTGGTGGGGTAATAAGGGGAGAGAATGGAAATATGATAGCCATGTTCTCAGGTCCTATTCAGCAAGGTGATATAGTGAGCGCAGAGATGAAGGCAGCAGTGTTTGGTGTTGAAAAAGCCAAAGAAATTGGGATTGATAGATTGATTGTTGAAAGGGGACTCAAAACTGTGGTAAAGTGGCAGTTAAGGAATGAGTTCAGGCGCTTCAAACAGGCTTCTAAAGACATGATTCAAATAAGATGGATTAGAAGATCAGCTAACAGTATGGCTGATGGTCTAGCTAGGCAAGGAGTTCAAAGACATGTTTCTGTTGGGTTACCTTTTTGGCTGTGTTGTAATTAAAGGGATTGGTTTTGGTTTGTTTGGGGATTTGATGTATTTAGTGGACAATGTGGAATGTTTGTCCGACACAACTTGTTGTACTTGATTTTCTAATTAATGAATTTTTCTGTGTTGCTGATAAAAAAAAACTCTTATGATTCCTGCATCATCCCACAAGCGGAAATTTTTTGTCAAGTGTATTGATACAAGGAGACGAAAGACATTGAAAATGGTCTTCTATGAAATGTGAAATCTGCCAAATTTATCATTTCTCTATTGGCTTAAACTTCTTAAACAATAGAGGATAATGTAGGAATTCTTTTTATTTTTTTCCAACAAAACTTCACCATTTTTTAATAAATATGAGTAAAAAGCCTAACAAGATACATAGACAAGTTTCTCTCATTGGAAGTTGGAGCCATTACAGCCTTCACAGAAACTGAAAATACAGCTAATGCATCAGAATCTGAAGCAGCCTCACCCTTCCTACTCCTACATACATCACACAAGAAGACATAGAAGAAAGAAATTCTTAATGTCATAAAGTTTTCATATTTGTAGATAACTGTTCTAATGAACATCATAAATTTGGGGGTTATAGAGGGGTGAACTTTCAGCAAATGACACTATAATAGGGCATTGCTGCAACAAAGAACTATATTTAAATGTAAATTTAGGTGGATATCAGAGAAGGATGGTTGAAAGAAAAGTATCAAGAAGATAGAACTATTGTGATTATGAAAACATATGAGATGCAAGGACAAAGAGTATTTAAGAAGAAAGAGAAGAGATTTTACTAGTGGAATTTTTGGATCACTGATACTAGAATTAGGATTTTGACCTCCTTGAGGCTTGAAGATTGAGATGAAAAAGGGATTCTAATTCTTACTCTGGATTATGGAAAATAAGCAACACTAATGTTTAGGACTTCAAGAGCTTGCTGGCTTGATTTATTAATTATTTAGATGATTAAAAGGGAAAATTATAGAGAAAGAAAGCATATCAACATGAAGCGAACATGGAAGTGAGTCATGAAGTTGGTAGCTGTTCAAAGATCATCTAAACACCAACTTGGCCACTTGGGACTTGGGAGGAGTGGAGACTAGACTTGAAAGTTTAATCTTGATTTTGGCCTAATCCCAACCAATTGGACTTGGATAAGGAATGCAAATGGATCAGATTGGGATATATCCAATTCGATTCTATAAGAAAATTGCATAGATTCGAATTCGATAATAATCCATTACATTTTTATATTCAAATTAGATTTGATAACAGTGTTGGATATCTTATTCAAATTTGATTTGAATCAATGATTGGTATTTTTGTCAAAAATTGAACCAAAATTTTAGAGAAACAAAGAGGAACTGACATCTAAAACACAGAACACACCTTTCCTTTTGAAATTTGAATCAAAACTTATTAATCAATTGTGCTTGTGTATGAAATTTGAAAATTATTGTCATATTGCATAGCTTCAAATTTAAAACAAAGCACAAGCCTTGCAGTGTTATTGGAGAGTGATGTTGAAATTTGTAACAAATCCATTGAACCTTGCAGTGAGAGAGAGACCGAGAGAGAGTGAGAGAGAGTTACTGACAAACTTGGGCTTGTAGAAGGTGTCGCCTCTTCTGCCCAATCTCTTCTCAGTTCTCATCATGGCCTTATTTCGGTGAGAATGGACAAAGGAAATGGTTACAAAGGAGAAAACTCGAGTGTATGAGATACTAAAGGAAAACAAAGAGACTTTGAAATATAAGCCTGAACCCTAAATCCCTAAATCCAAAACCATAACATTAGATCATAAATTTTAATTATAAAGGGCATTTAGTTTGATACAATTCCTTTGACCAGGTAGGAGCTAATAATTCCTCATAAAGCAGATATTTGCCTTGGGTTCCTCGCAGGTCATAAAAGTGAAATCTAAAGACCATATATCATATATGGTTAATAATTGGTTGCACACGTGCATAGCACATACCCTTATACTAGTTCCAAAAGATCCATGGTAAGATCTCCTCTCTTTCTTCTGAAATACTCCTTGTCACTGCATTTTGTATGTTTTCATAATCAAAATAGTTCTATCTTCTTGATACTTTTCTTTCAACCATCCTTCTCTGTTATCCACCTGTATTTGCATTTAAATATAGATCTTCATTGCAGTAACACCACATAATAGTATCATTTGCTGAAAGTTCTCCCCTTTATAACTGCTACACACAAATTTATGATGCTCAGTAGAACACTTTTCTGAAAATATGAAAACTTAGTTCCTTTTTCTATGTTTTCTTGTGTGATGTATGCAGGAGTAGGAAGGGTGGGGCTGCTTGAGATTCTTATGCATTTGCTGTAATTTCAGTTTTTGTAAAGGCTGTAATGGCTCCAACTTTCAATGAGAGAGAGCGAACCTTGTCTGTGTATCTTTACATCCCCAATATCATTGGTAGGCTTTTCTTCTCATCTCTTAAAAATGGAGTAAGTTTCTAGAAAAAGAAAAAGAGTTCTTACTGTATTCTAATTGTTTAAGAAGTTTAAGTTAATAGTGAAGTGATGACTTTTGCAGATTTCATATTTCATAGAACATCATTTTTTATGTCTTCCATTTCTTTCTTGTATCAATATGCTTAACAAATAATTGCCACTTGTGGGGTGATGCAGGATACATAAGAGTAATTATGAACTGTTTTGCATTTGCTCAATGCTTTTCTGACAAAAAGCTATTCTCGATCCTTTATTTTATCAGGTTGCCATTAATTACTATAAATTTATACTTCTGATTTTTTTTTTCCAATTCAATTGAGTTTCCTTAAATTCATTTGTGCCTGCAGCTTTGTCTGCGATGGTTTAGATGGTTGGTTCGCCCGCAAATTTAATCAAGGTATAGTTAAACACATTCCGTTAGCATAACAAATATTTTTCCTCATGGTGCTTCTTTTAATATTTAATAATGCAACTGACTAGGCTAGTGATGTGCTTGCGATATAATTGATTAGTGTTATGCATACTGTAAGGCCCCATCGCTTGAGCATGTTCTATTATCTCCTATTGTTGTTCATAAAGTATAATTTGTGAATAAAATGAGAGAATTTAAGAGGGAACCTTAAGAATTCAAGATGGTTAAGAATTTTCAGAATGGATACTCTATGCTAATCTCATGGGTAACTACTTCCCATAGCCCCCCATCTGGCTGTTATCACTATGCTTCCCAAATACAGCAACAACACAGCTGGGCAAGGTCTTAGATGCAGAATTTACATGTCATTTTGATGTCAAATGACCTAATAGCATGCTTGGAACTTTTCTGAGGTGACTACAACGTTACTAGATTACTCTCATTTTGTAAAGTCTGAGCCTTATGTACCTTAAGTTGAGATCAAGTTACCATTTTCAATCTTTATTCTTCTCCATGCATCTCTTTTTCTTTATAGGAAATAACATTATCCTAATTTTTGTTCTCTTTTCTTCCTGGGGTTTCTGCATAAGGAGGTTTAGTAAAGATGCTGTTACATCTATTTTGCAGATGGTTCATTTTGAACTTATTCACCTTTATTGAGCTGGACCACAGAAAATAATTCCTGGGAATTTAAATTTCTTAGTTTAGCCAGTAGTCTCATAACTAGAGTTGTAATTAAGATGGTAGGTTGAATTATCTTCAACTCCTGAGATCTACCAATTAAGGCTGTGATTGGTTCCTCAAAAAAGAGTAAGAAAAGTTGTGGGAAGATCCTTTCAATTTCCGTTACTTTTTTTTTCTCACCTTTTTACCAAGGAAACCAAAGATTGCCTAAAAGATGAATTCAGTATTATTGTTCTCCCCCAATAGTTTTGTTCTTGTTGTTGCTTACTGTATCTATTTTGGTTTTGTTCTGCCTCAATTTATTGGTTCTGATTTGAGTTTTGCATCTTTATATGTACGGACCGACTCTTGTACCTATCTGTGTCATGTTAATATAATCTTTTTGTCCTGTTACTAATAAAAAATGCAAAGTGTTTAGTTAGGGCCTACGTATTGCAATATAGATTCCTCTTGTGTGGCATCAATATCTTTCCCATGCTTTTCCTATTTTCTAGTGTAAATGCCTGGAGTTATTTCATGATATCCTATATCTTTTTGCTTAGGTGTGCAAAGGAGCTTCCAGTAGGGACATATATGTAGTTGTCTCTTTCATTGAGTTTCAATGTCTAACAAATGTCATGCAATTCTTTGTTGTGGCATTTATGGCACATCTCTATTGCATTTAATCATCATTCAATTTCGAGGTTCATCATCACTATATTCTTTTTGATAACTATATGTTGTGAACTTAGTGGTGAGATACAACAGGGAGGTGATTTTTAAAATATTTTTCCTTTTATCTTGCACGTTGCTTTGAAGCATGAGGGCTGAATTGGTTTTGCAAATAGTGATCTGATAATTGTTCTTTTGTGGGACAATTACTTTTTTTTTTTTTAATGACATCTATTTTGTTGAGTTGTTATAAAAACCACTGTTGTTATGACTTATACTGGCTATATCTTTGTTAGACATTGAAATTCTCGAGTTGTTATAAGCTGATCACTAAGGTAAACTCCTTGCAGTTGTTTAAGGGCTGGGTAATAGGAATAGACCGTCTTGGTATCTCGTTTGCAGTTTGCAGATGATATCCTTGTTTTCTGTGATGGGGTTTGCAGAGAAGGGGTGGGAAATTTGAAGCTGGTAGTGAAGCTCTTTGAGAGGATTTCCAACTTGAAAATTAATTGGTCTAAAAGTCTGTTGGCTGGTACCAATTTGGAAGATGAGGATCTGAGAACAATGGCAGAATCCTTGGGTTGTGAAAAAGTGTTTTGGCCCCTAAACTACTTAGGTTTTCCCTTAGGTGGCAATCCTAGAGCTACTATTTTCGGGACCCCAGTGGTGGAAAGGTTTGAGAAGAGGCTTAGCAAGTTGGAAGAGGAACWATAGATCATTGGGAGGGAAAATTACTTTGATCAAATCTAATCTAACAAACCTTCCAATGTACTTCATGTCAGTTTTTAGGATGCTCCAAGCAGTGGTAAGAATAATCAAAAAGATTATGAAAGACTTTCTTTAGGAGCTTGGGGAAGGGAAGAAAAATAATTTAGTGAAATGGGAAAAGGTGATGGAGTTGAAGGATGAAGGGGGTTTGGGTATTGGGAACCTAAGGTCGAAGAATATGGAGATTCCTTGGAGAAAATGAGAAGTTGTGGAATAGAGTAATAACAAGTATCCATGGATTGTCAAACAATGGGTGGGATGCGGGCATCTTGCACAGAGCTACTTTGGCTGCTCCTTGGAAGGTTATCCATGACATTCTTCCTGTGTTCCTCACACATATCAGGTATGACTTGGCCTTGGGTCAGCAAATAAGGTTTTGGAAGGATACATGGATTGGAGATTCCCCTTTATCTGAGGCCTTTCCTTCCATCTTTGAACTTTCCAGCCTCAAAGGAAAACGTGTGTCCGAATTTGTCATCTCCTCTTCCCAATTAGGTCTGGATTGGAACTTGGGCCTTAATAGGCAGCTTAGAGTCTGAAATTCTCAGTATTGCTGCTTTGCTTAGCTTGTTGAATTCAGTGGTTTTGGGGGATAGTGGTTCAGATTCTAGAGTGTGGGCCCTTGATCATTTGGTTCATACTCTTGTAAGTCCTTGAACTCTCTTGTAGCCACCTCCATTCTTCTTCTTTCCCTGTGAAGGAAATATGGTTTCGGCCCATTCCTCCTAAAATCAGTGCTTTTCGTTGGCAAGTGTTTCATGGCTCTATTAATATTTGTGATTTGCTTCAGAGGAAAAGACCAAACTGGTGTTTGTTCCCAAGTTGGTATGTAAGTAATTTGATGAGATTGCTCTTTACATGTTAGTGTCCTGTCCTTTTGCTCTTTTCTCTTTGGTTGCAGACGACGCCTCCTAATAGCTTGGAGGGACTATTTAGCTCTCTTACTTTAAAAGGCGTGCCTAGGCGCATAGGCGAGGCGCATTTTGGGGTATGCGCCTCGCCCAGGTCCTAGGCGCACCCTTTCAGAAGGTGTGCGCCTGGTGAGCTTGATGCGCCCTGCGCCTATTTGCTAATGTTGTTCATTCATTCATTGCAATAAAATATCTTCTTAAAAGGCAATGAAAGTTATAAAATCATTATTTTTTATGTGAGAAATAAGAATTTCAGACCCTAACATAGACTTGTTAGGGCTTGCCTCGAGGGGCGTGGTACAAAGGCGACTCATAGAATCAAGAATGCAATAGTTTTACATCACATTAACTACTTGAAACAATGCAATTAAGGAAAAAATGAGGTTGTGGGTTTTACATGCTTGAAAATGCTTTATATGTTTGCTTTTATTTTTAAATTTTCATTTGAATACACTTTACATGTATGTTTATGTATTTTAATTTTAGATAATAGGTTTTCTAAATAATTTATTTTAAATTTTATGTTTATATTTTTTATTAACATTATGTTTAATATTTTTTGAATTTTTTTAAAATTTATTGGCATTTTTTTTGAAAATTCTGACTTTTTTTTAATTTTTTAGCTTTTATTTTTGTACTTTTGCGCCTTTCTTAAAAAAGCGTGCGCCTCGCCTTGCGCCTTGCCCCTCAGGTGCAAATTGGCCCTTGCACTTTATTTGCGCCTTGTTCTTTTAAAACATTGGAGTAGAGTGGTTTGGACACTTTGGGAAGAAAGGAATCTAAGAATCTTTGAAGACAAGGGAAGAAGTAAGGAATCTGTGATAGAGGTAATACCCTAAGGGTGGCTCATTGGGTCAAAACCTTAAAGCTCTTTGCAGATTTTAAAGTTTTGAAGACTTTCTCAATTCGTGGGGTTCAATTGCTGCTTCATCCTGTAGAAAACAAAGAATAATTGAGTTCTGGTCACCCTCATGTGCTGGGTGGCAGAAATTGAATTTTGATGGTAGCTGTATGGGCAATCCTGGCCCAGTGGGTATTGGTGGGGTAATTAAGGAAGAAAATGGAAACATCCTAGCATTATATTCAGGTCCAGTTCAGCAAGGTGATGTGGTGAGATCAGAATTATTGACAGCAGTTTATGGGGTGGGGAAGGCTAAAGAAATGGTCAATCGTTGAAGGGAATTCAAAGATAGTTGTGAGCTGGCTGAAAAAGGAGGAAAGGGTAATTTGGCAACTAAGGAATGAATTGAGGCGCTTCAAATAGCTTTCTAGAGATATGCTCATCCAATAAGATGGATTGGAAGATCTGCAAACAGCAGGGTAGATGGCCTAGGTAAACAAAGAATTCAGAGACAATCCATGTTTTGGGCCCTTTTGGCTTTGATGTTTTTTGTTTTAACAACCTCTTGTCATATACTTCTGCTCTAAATTAATGAATTAATTTTTCTGTTGCTGATAAAAAAGGCCCAGCTGCTGGCTTAAGACATTCAACATGCAGTGAGTTGGGTTATCACATTGGTATCTACAGCAGAGGAATTCAAGAGAATTCATGGATTTGTTACTAGGTGATGGCAAGTGGTGAATGGCTATATTTACCAAAGAAGTCAGCTAGTGCCAATTTGGATGACCCTTGAAGCAGGAAAAATAACATTAAATTGTTATGATAGTTGAGATAAAAACTATCATAAGATGGTTTAGTCACGTGCATAGAAGACCATTGACAGCACCCATAAGAAGAAGTGATCTGTTGCAAGATGAAGGGGTTAGAATGGCTAGGGGTAGACCAAAAAGGACATGGGTTGAATGAGGTAGAAATGATGTAAATTCTCTTAATTTAACAATAGACATGGCATTAAGCAGAAAGGAATGGTGAAACAAGATTCATTTAACTGACTCCATATAGTTGGGATAAGGCTTGGATGCTGATGTTGATTGTTCAAATACAACTAAAGTTTGATGGTTGTACCCTGGGAAAACATGGACTTTTAAGGTTGATTGTATAGACAACAAGGGCCAAATCATCTCGAGTTACCTTGGCCTATTGGGAAATAAATTTTGTAAGAAATTATCAAAAATAAAAGGAAAGAGAAAAAGAATATATTATGAAAGATTATCATCTAATATTGTTTGTTTTGAAATTGAGGCTAGGGGGATAATGATATAGATTCCTTTGCTGTGCATGATATTTCAGAAAGATTATCAACTAGTTTTGTTTGTTTTTAAACTGAGTGTTGGGGGATGGTGATATTAAATCCTTTGCTGTGCATAATGTTTCAAACCATTGTTTAACTAGCATAACATAGCAAGTAGATTGTTGACCAATTACTGGAAGGATATGATAAAAAAATTTTGTTAAGTTTCTCATATCTTTACCATGAAAGTAATTCTAGCCTATTACTGGGATTTTTTTTAAGATATTTGTTTTTTTGTTTCTCCTGTTCCCATTCCGGCTCAGAGTCAGGAATCTAGATGCTCTCTGGCTTTTCCTTAACTTGAATAGTTAAGCTCTTTTATGAACCATTGTTATTTAAAGAAAAACACTTGAATTTTAGTGTTTGACTAATCTGTCTCCTCTCCTGATTCAGTGTCAACTTTTGGAGCAGTTTTGGACATGGTAACTGACAGGTGCTTTTCTTTGAATCTTTATGTTTTATTTCCAATCAAAGGCCTTTGTCTTCTCCAAAAACAGAGCACTTTTGTTTTATATTATGCATTATATCTCAGATCAAGGTTTTATTCTTGTATGCTTGTGAGCCTTACTTGATCTTCCTTGTTGCCAGGGTGAGCACTGCGTGTCTGTTGGTAATCCTTTCCCAATTTTACAGGTAAAGATTTTATTAATTCAGAGCTTATATTATTTCATTTGGATTATATTGTTCYGAGTCTCTGAGAATTATTGAGATTGTCACAGGCCTGGCTTGGTTTTCTTGTCATTGCTTGCTTTAGATATTGCCAGCCATTGGATGCAAATGTACAGGTGCTGTTTTGTTCCTTCTTGAATAAATCTATGCTTCCTCCGTTGCATTAAAATTTCCATCTTTAGGCAAACCTATACAAGGTCTCTATTACCTCATTACTTGTAATTGTCTTCCCACAAATTACAGAGTTCCATCATTTTTCCTGTTGCAGTACTTTCTTATCAGGTAAGGCCAGCCATAAAGATGTAAAAGACAGCACTAATTGGCTTTTCAAGGCATACTATGGAAGTCGTCCATTTATGGCTTATTGTTGTGTGTCGTGTGAGGTAATTAGTTTAGTCTACAGCACAAATAAATTTCACGAGTTTTCTTCTTCATATATTTTGAAAAGAGTATGCTTGGATGCACAGGTACTTTACATCATCCTTTTCCTTCTTGTAGAAAAAGAACCTGAAAGTGTCATAAGAGTAAGCCTTTGTTCTTTTTTATCTCAATTTTTGTTTTCCAATGTCAATATTTATACATGTTTTTCCAAGATTAGCTTAGTTCGTGTATTCTTTCATGCTAGGTTTTAGTGGATGCTGTGAAAGAGAGTTCATTGCTATCTCCTCTAGTCATTTTAGCTCTCTTTGGGTGGGCAATCAAGCAAATGGTTAATGTTATACAGGTAAATCCATACTATTACAAAGTATTAAAACTTATATGTGTAACGACTTTTTTAATTAGACCTAGTGTGCAATTAATTGTCAGTGTTGTTGAGAATTCTTCTTGGCTTTCTCTAGAATGATGAAAAAATGAGGACTAGTGGAAAATGGAAAAAATAAAGATTCAATTCATGATGTTGGTCATCTTACTAGATGCAATTACCAAATTATGTTCAAACAAAAACTTAAAATGGGCCATCTACCCATAATTATACATATTCTATTCCTACCTTGCTAACATTGACTTAATGGTGACAATAGCAGCAACATGATCATGCACAATTCTTGACAACTTTTTGTGAATAACTTATTACTCATTGAGTTACTATCTGTTGTCATAAGCCAGATTGGGATGTTAGGATAGATTCTACCTTTGTGTTTCCTTTTGAAAATTGTACTCTATTTTGCTGCTTGACACTCTTCTTCCATTTCTGTGAAGTACACAGACCTGCTTAAAAATGGATGTAGATATGCTATTATTAACCACCTCTGACCTCTCTTTTTTTATATGTAATGAGAAGCATTTTATTAAAGATTAAATAAAAACTATCAGAGGATACAGCATAAAATACCCATAAAGAGGCTCGGGCTGCGGCCTCAAAAACAAAACAAGATTACAAATGAGCCCAGCGTAAAATAAATGATCTCTATCCATTAGCTGATCTCTCCTTTCCCACTGAACTTGCAGTAATATGTTGGTGGAAATTAGCTATTTGAATCTTCTTATTGCCCCCTAAAGGACCAAGCTACAGTCTCTGACTCCAGTTGGACCAGAAAACAAAGCAACTATTTGTCCTTTCGCACTTCTAAAAACTCCTCCAACACCTGAAGTCCCAGGAATACCAAGGCTGCTACCTTCAAAGTTTAGCTTGATAATGTCTTCTCAGAGGGTTCTAATTTTCTATGGCCTTGTTCTTGACCAAAGTGGGTTTTGCAATCAATTTCCAGTTTCTCCAAAGGTCATCAAAGAAGAATTGTGAGAAGAGATCCAAAGCATTAGCCCAAATGATAGCCTTGTTCAAAATGCACTCCTGAACAGTAAACTCATCCCTTTCTTTATCGTTAAAGATTTTAGCATTTCTTTCCTCTGGATCTCTCAGATTTTTTTGACACCTAGATTTCAATTGAGCCTAGAAAACTGAGAGGAGACAAGCCTATGAATGAGTTTATTTCTAAAATGGGACAGAGAATACAAGAAGGGAAAAGGATCCTTGAGAGTAGAATTACCAATCTAGACATCCTCCGAAAAAAGAACCCTATCTCCTATACACACATCATACTTGGTAAAGCTTAGGAAATGGGGAAGAATGCCATGAATAGCCTTCCACAAAGAGTTCAAAGTAGTGGAGATGTGGATTAAAGGACTTGGCTTGTAGATAAGGAAATGAAGATGAAGATGGGTATGGTTCTAGTGGAAGGCTGAGAGATGGTTGAATGGAAAATAATCAAATGGATGTAGTGGAGAGCAAAAGGAATGCAAAGGGATCTTTCGTTTCTCTATCAGAGTTCTTTGCTGAAGGAAGAAAACAATTGGTCTGTTTCCTTGAAGGGAGAATAATCGAGGATAGCAATGTGTGGCTGATGTTTTGACAACTTTCCTAGACCGAAGAAAACTAGTGAAAAGGAAGGTGATGTAAAAAGTAGAAAATGACCGTAGATCGTTTCTTGACATTCCTCTCTTGTTTGTGGGTAAGAGCCCTAAGCAGTTCTTTGCTATGGCATACAGTAGTAGTAATCCCTCTTTGATTGCAAATTTCAAGAAAGAGCAATGGGACAGTATGACAGTGGTTGAAGCCAAAAAACAAGTTTAGGATTTGAAGAAGGTTGCTGATCTCTTGATGATTAGCTGATACTGAGGAATACATTAATCTTAACTCTTTTGATAGTGCCAAGGCAGTGCTGGATTCTTGTGAAAACTTGATAGATCTTGAAGCCTTAAGTATTCAAGATGGCTTGAAGACTTTTTCACTGTTTAAATGGTCTCCATCTTTCAAATCAAAATCCTATTCAGTTGAAGATGGTGTAGCAACTTCCTTTGCATTGTTTTGTGGAGCTCATCTTGGTGAGTTTTGGGGAGATCTACATTCTGCAGCTCTTCTGTTGAGTGGAATTAAACCAAAGGAGATACCATTGAAGGTGACTATCAGTGGCTGATGGTTTTCGTACTTGTGCGGTTGGCCTCCTCCATTGAAGTTGCTTTATAGAGGGAGGTTAGTCAAGGTTGAAGATAAAAAGTTGAAGAACTGGCTCTATGTGGCAGATTGGGGCTGGGGAACCAAGAGGGAGGGAACTTTCACATAAATAGATAGACAAACTTTAAGTAGTCCAAAAGAATTGGGTATTATGGATAGTCAGAAACGCAAGGAACAAGAAAAAGGCTTGATAGTTAACAGAACTTCTACACTAGCTTCTGGTGCAAAAGAGAGTTGTTTGAATGGGCTAGACCCTTTAAATTCAAAGGGGAGGAGTTCTTTGGTTAAGGTGGGTGAACCAATGCCTAGGGGGTGACCCTTTGAGTGAAACAGGGGAGTGTGTAATTCCAAAAAATCACGTGCTTGCCAATTTAATTGCTGGTGGGCCTTTTATTTCTAGATCTGATTCAGTGTCTAACAGGCCCAAATTTAATTTTTCTCTGAAAGTGCCAGAGCCAGCTGACCCATTTAATAAGAAGGAAGTTGAAATTTTAAAGAAGCACGTGACAGGGGGAGCATCTAAGGTAGACGAGAAACATCATTTAGCATCATATTCTTTTAGCTCTTCCAACCATTTGAAGAGCTCAAACGAGGCCTGCTAGCTCGTTAAAGTTGATACCTTCAAAAAAGCCTTTCGTCTCTCACAGGACCGATGCAATTCTAGGTGTGTCAAACGAAGTGAGATCAAGAATCTTGAGTTGGAGATATTGACAGAAGATGTAGACTTTTCTGATTAGTATATTGGAGAGACCCTTAGTCTTTGAGGAGGGTCGTCTAAATACTAAGTTTTTGTTCATAGAGGAGGAAGTACTGGCTCTGACTGGCCTTGGAAAAGAGGAGAAAGAAAAAAACTTGAGTTTTAATGGTTATGAACAAATTGATTCTCTTGTAGTTGGTGTGCTGCAAAGGTATTAGCAAGCCTTACTAAGGATCTGCAGGATACAACTCATTTGCCAAATGAGCCTCTTTCAGTAACTCAGCCTCTTCAGGATATCGGTCTAGAGGGACTTGAAACAACTCTGACACTTTACGTAGAAACACAATTGAAGGGAAAGCTTCCTAAGGTAAGTTCGGATGCAGGGGTGAAGAAGTTTTGGCTAAACCTAGTTTACTTCCACAACTGAACCAGACTGAGGGAAGGGGCTTTTCTCACTCACCCTAACAGGTTCAGGTACACTTGCCCATTTGTTTTTGGGTACTAATCTGGTTTCTGTTACTGAAACAGGTACCCTTGTATCACTACTAGAGAAGATCTGGGAGCAGATTTGTGCGTTGTTGGAGGAAAATAAGAAGGAAGAGTTGATGAATGTAACCCCAGAAAAGGTAGAGCCATATTTTAGTTCCCAAAGAGTGGAGAAGGAAGTGGGAAATATAGACTTTATGGAAAATTTGTGGTAAAGAAGAATAGGAAAAGGAGGAACATCAGAAGTGGAGAGACTAATTTTGAACATTGAAGGGGATATTGAATTAAGTGGAAGAGGGGAGAGAAGGAAGTGCAAGAAAAAGGAGATTGATTAGGGACCTACTTAAAAGAGATAGACCTGATATTGTGATGCTATAGGAGACTAAACTTGCAGAATTAGACAGAAGATGGGCTAGAGGTGTGGTGAAAGCAAGAGAAGTGAGTTGGTGCTCAACTCCCTCCTTAGGAGCTTTGGGGGGTACAGTTACTTTTTGGAGAGAGGATGTTTGTAGAACCACCTGAGGAATTGATAGCAAATTTTCTGTGTCCCTAAAGTTCAAGATGGTGGAAGATGGGCTGAAGAGGAATGAGTTGTAGGAATTGCTTTATGGAATCCAAGGCTTATGGGCTGAAGAGTAAACAATGAAAGTTATCTATTGTAGTTTTATGTGGAATAACCATGAAAGAAGTGAGATTAAATTTGATCGATGATACACACAATCATATTAGGTTTCTTAAAATGTGCTTGGTTGGATGATATGTGAACATAGATCTAGACATTGAAAAGTTATCTATTGCATTTTAGGTGTGGAAACTCAATGCAGGATTCTTTTTTTTCTCTTTCGGCAATGTAAAGTGCTTGACATTTTCAATCACAAATAAGGTCAGTTTTGATGCCCAGAACTCAAGCTAGGGAGATGGAGCCCTCCAGCTGGGGCATTGAGGAAGTTGGGTTCTTCAAGTTTGGTGTGGATAAATGTCTACTGCGACATCCCCTTACATGCTTGGTGTTTCCAAACCTATTTAGCCATTGTGGATGCATTGGAAAATTCAAGCAAGTTGATTCAAGGACATGCATATGGAAGAACTTGGTAGCTACATGTGTCCCGGTGGAGGTGAAAGAGGGTCACTTGGTAATGACATCTTGTTGGTGCTTAATTTTGGTGGAGAACTGTATGACATGAGATTAGTGGTGGAACTTATCCGGTTAGGAGGCTTTAAAGATTGGTTTCGCGGGAGGGAGCAGTACATTTTGTCGTCCACTTGTTTCAAACCATTGAAAGTCGAAAAGTCTCTTTGTTAACTGTGTTTTAAAAGCCCATGGCGCAAAAAGGCACATGGGTCAATTTGCACCTAAGGCGCAAGTCGCAAGGCGAGGCGAGACACGTGCCTTTTTGAATCAAGGCACAAAAATAAAAAAATGCTAAAAAATAAAAAGTTAAAAAATTAAAAAAAGCAAAAAATAAGAAAACATAATATTAATAAAAAATATAAACTTAAATTTTAAAATAAATGTTTTTAAAAACCTATTATCTAAAATTAAAATACATAAGCATAACATGTAAAGCATATTCAAATGAGAATTTAA